TTATTTTTTTATTTTTATGATATTTTTTTATATGATTTTTTAAAATTGTTTTTGTTATTTTTATTTTTTTAATATTAAGTTAATTGAGAATTCAACTTTTTACTTTTTAAAAAAAAATTATGAATTGTTACAATCATTCCCTATATATTTTTTATGAATTTTTAAAAAATTATCTTTGTCAATTTTATTTTTTTAATATTGAACTAGTTGATAATTACAATTATATATTTCCTCGTAAAACACTATAAATTACTACATGTTTTTCTATATTGGTTTTTTCTTTTATTTTTTATATTTTTTTCTAAAATTATTTTTGTTGTTTTTTGTTGAAAACATTATAGATTGCAACAGTTTTTCTCTATATATACTCTAAAACGCGTAGGGAAAATACTGTAGTTTCTCCCACATGTCCTTTTTGTTTTTTTCTCCATTCCCCACATGCCTTTTCTTTTCTTTTCTTTTTCATTTTTTCCCCAAAATTATCATCTTTTTTTTTCTTTTTTTTTTTAATTATCTTTGTTAATTTTATTTTTTTTACTATTAAATTAGTTAAGAATTTAGCTTTATAGATTTTTTTTTGAAACATTGTCAATTGTTACAGTGTTTTGCTAAAATATTTCTCTATATAGTTTTTATTTTGCTATAGTATTTTTTTACATGTTTTTTTCTAAAATTATCTTAGTTGAATTTATTTTTTAATGTTGAAATGGTTAAGAATTTAGCTCTGTAATTTTTTTCTTTAAAATATTTTGGATTGCTACAGTGTTTTCCACATGATTTTTATGTTTTTTTTATGATATTCTTTAAAATTATCTTTCCACATGGTTTTTATGTTTTTTTATGATATTCTTTAAAATTATCTTTGTTGATTTTATTTTTTTAATATTAAGTCGGTTGAGAATTACAACTGTAGTTTTTCTCACAAAACATTGTGGATTGCTATAGTGTTTCTCTGCGTGGATCTTTTTCTATTTTTTATGATTTTTTTAAAATTATCTTTTTTTTTAATATTAAACTGGTTGAAAATTTAGCTTTGTATTTTTTTATTTAAAACATTATGATTTGTTATAATCATTCCCCGCGTATATTTTTTGTTATGAATTTTTTTAAAATTATTTTTTTAATATTAAGTTTGTTAAGAATTACAAATATATATTTCCTTACAAAACACTATAGATTGTTATAATTTTTTCTTACATAGTTTTTTACCTTTTATTTTTTTATATTTTTTTCTAAAATTATTTTTGTAATTTTTTCTTAAAAATATTATAGATTATAATAATTTTTCTCTATATAATTTTTTTATATTTTTTTAATAAATCCATGACATCAACATACATCCTACAAGCTTACTTATAGCAACGCAAGAGCATGGCATTAGTAGGTGTGTGTGTGTGTGTTCGGAATAGTTTTCACTCATTGAAATCGATTGGCTCCACGTCTCCAATCCTGTTAAATTTATGTAATTCATATCTCCATTAATTTTTTTAACATAATTTAACTTTTAGCTATTTTAAGGTTTATATTTGGCAGTGCGGTCAAATTACATTTTTAAAAAATTTGGAATTTAACTATTTAAAATTAATATTTTTAATATTTTTATCGTTTTAAATAAATATTGATATTAAAAATAAATTTTAATAAATAAAAAAAATATTATTTTAATATATTTAAAAAAAAACAAATATTTTAAAACACAATCTCACCAAACTTCTAAACATCTCGTTCCTTTAAAATTTGAATCATAATGATCATCAAGAAGGTATGAAATATAATTTTTCAAACTCTTTTTTTTTTTTTATCATTTGAGATGAAGAATAGAATACTTCCATCAGAGGTATAGATTGGAAATTGTTAAAAAGCATTTGTCTTTTTTTTTTTTCCCACTAAAGATGAATATTAGAAGAAGAGTCTATTTATTTTTGAATTTCAATAATGTTCTTGAAAAAAAATAAGAATTTTATTTTTATTTTTTTCTTGATTTCAAATTATTTTTTATGTGATTTTAAATTATTTTAATATGTTGATATTAATGTTGATGTGTGTGTATTTCAATATATTTTTAAATAAAAAATATTTGAAATAATAATAAACCACACTCAAATTTCTATCAATAACCAGGAAAAAGGTGCAGGCACTCTCTCAGCTATGGCTGGCTTGATTTTTAATTTGGATGCGAGAAGCTAGGATGCAAAAACATTAATTTTTATTTGCAATAAGGCTAGCATTCAGAGGATATTTCCCAAATAAAAAGTACAAGTGGAGTGTAATGATCAATTGCAGAGGGAATTGGGGGAGAAAAAGGTGAGGGGATTTCAAGGCTTTATTATATGCTGCCCACCAAGCCAACAACACTCCAGGTGTAATAATCACCATAGGTTACTAGTAGATCCACCACACCCACACCTAAATTTATCAAATACAACAGACAAGCTGCTCGATCACACCTTATCCGCTAATTTGCTATATTATAATAATAATAATAATAATAATAATAATAATAATAATAATAATAAATTAAAGTAGGAGTCCTCCAATAATATATTTGTTCTAGAGAAAGTTTTATTAAATTGAATCAGAGAGGCATAAGGGGAACACTATTCTTCAATATACAAACTACTATGGATTGAAAAGGTATTTTTACCATTGTGCCCGTCATTCCGAAAAAACCGATAACCTGGCTGGTGGGAGTTTTATTATAATTTTCATGTGACTCGTTGATGATTTGCAAATTAATTGCGGCAAATCGATTTTTTTAAATTTTCTTGGCACAGGAAATTTATTTATCTAACCTACGCTTAAAAAATAAATAAATAAAGCTATCATTCGAGAGTTTTTTAGATTTTTTTATTTGTTTTAGCATAATAAAATAATTTTATTATCATTAAAAACAAGAAAAAAAAACTTTTTAGGGTTTGTGTCTTTTCAGTCTGGTTTTTTTCTTAATTCTCAGATTCTACCAGGGATTATTTAGTCATTTGCTAAAAATGAAAACTATGTAAAAAAAAATCACAATGCATAAAGAGTCTCTCTGCGCGTTTCAAATGGCGCATTTGACTCTATCTAATAGTTAAAAGCTAGCTTATTAAACGACATCTAAATCGTTTTAACAGCCTCTCTATGCTAGGGATGTGTATGTTATTGAGAAGCCTCTAGTTTGAAGTAACAATCTTTTTTTTTTTTTTTCTTTTCTCCCTCTCGTTCAAAATTTTTGCGTTGGCACTTCAATTTCTTAAAGCAACCATCTAATATGTTTTCGATCTAAATTTAATTCATGTTCTTTGATTATACTTTATTTTATTTTGAATAATTTGTAAATTTGAATTTTTTATATACTTTCATCCTCTTAGATTTTTTCATTTGTTATATTGGACCTCCATTGTTTTTATTGATTTTTTTTTACTTAAAACAGTTTTTAAAATGTCCATTGTTTTTATTGCTTTTTTTTTTTTACTTAAAACAGTTTTTAAAATTGATTTTTTTTAACAATTTCATTCTTTTTGAGTTTTTTCTTATCAAATTTAATTTTTTTTATCTTAAAAAGTTTTTAAATTTGATAGTTTTTTTTATCAATTTCATCTCCAATATTAAATAGGTATTGAACTATTTAATTGAGTCCGAATCTAATATTTGATGAATTACAATTTTAAAAGATCAACTCAAATTTAAAAAATTCATTATGTTTTACTTGTTTTTCTTAAGTTTTTTTTTTTTTTAGCTTCATCATTCAGTGTTTATCTAATTGAATATTGTGCTTCATTTTTTTTAAAGCTTTCGATCAACTTTTTTAATGATTTTAAAAATGACATGACTTATCTTAGATTTTTTTATTTGTTCTTAAATTTATATTTTTAAAAATAAATTTTGTTTTAAAATTAAATAAAATTAATTGATTAAATATAAATATAAAATATTCTTTTCATGGTATTTTTTATTTGCTTTTTAAGTTGCTCTTTTGATGTTACATGTGATTTCTTTAAATTACTTAGGTCATAAATTATTCTTATTTATTTAAAAATGCGAGCTTGAACATTCTATTTTTTTAATCTTTTTATAATAAAAATGGCCTCCATGTTAAAAAAAATTCCTTCCAATTCATTCCATTGGTTAAGAATCTCACAAAGTGAAGAAGGCCCATACAGGCCCAACAATGCCAAACCTTTTCAAAAGATTCAGCCCTAGCTTAAAATATGCATTAAAATCTTTTGATAAATTATAGAAGTGGAGATCGCTCATCAAATCCACCAACTGGCTCTCCACTATGATCTTCAAAGGCAAGTGTTCCCTTTATATACAACCAGAAACTCTTCAGGATTGTCTCTGAAATCCCGTGCACAAAAAGATTCAGCCCTAGCTCGAGTGAACTCTAATTCCTTGATCCTCCATTGATGGGTCGCAAGTTCTTGCTGGAACTGAATTATCTCTCCTTAAAGAGCTTTAAGATTTGGTGTACACGAATCCATCTCCTGAAGAACGCTTTTGTAAATTGATTCTAAGCATGAAGCTTATCTTTTGTAACGGTCCCGATACTTTTTTTAATGCACATCTTTTGTATATATATATTTTTTAATTATCTTTTGTAACGGTCCCAACTGAAAATTAGTTTTTTAATTAAAAATAAATCCTGATATTTTTTAATTATATATATGTATAAGTAAAAAACAATTTCAATTTATTTTTTCATAATTTTTTTCTGCTAACATCTAGTTTTCTTTATAAGATGATTAAATAAAATAAAGTATAGTTATTAAACTTGATTATGTTCATGATCCAGGTTTTAAGCTGAACACAATAATATGTTAGACAGTAATCAATTCAAAACATTATTTTAATATTTTTTTTTTTATTAATGTTATTTCTTAGTTTTTGTTTCTAAAATAATCAAGCCAAGTTTTACCGTATCGATCGAGTTGCGAGTGCGCTGTTCAGGCCAATTGAATTATACATTTCTGTATTTTCCTTGAAGAAATTGCTCAAGATATTCAAAAGGCAGAACAAGAATGGAATATCATTTTACTCAGATACTTCAACCCTGCTGGGAGCTTATGAGAGTGGTAGACTTGGTGAAGATTCCAAGGGTATCCAAAACAATCACCTGCCCAGTACCTGGTGGCAGATTTCCTGAGCTGAATGTATGCGGTCATGACTTTCCCACAAAGGATGGTAATGGCGCATTTGAAAAAGCTTCTGACAAGGTGACTGTTCCTTCTCCTCACTTGTCATTCATTCTTTTAAAGAAATGCAGCTAGTCAGAGTATTCACTATAAATTCTGTTTTCAGAAAATCCCTGTCGAGTTATGCCCGCGAAAGCCTGGCGATGCTACAAATGTTTATGCTCCCACAGAGAAAGCTGAGAAAGAACTTGGCTGGAAGTATGTTCTCAACCCATCGTTTTTCCTTGCATTTTGGCATTTTACAAGGACCTTCTCTTGTCTTACATTTTGGCATTTATGTTCTCAACCCATCGTTTTTCCTCACATTTTGGCATTTTACAAGGACCTTCTCTTTTGCATTCCTAATAACAATGCCAGGCTTAATAAATTATCTGTAGCCCATGGACTACTATATATAAATCTGAATCGATCATTTTGGCTATCATTTCACAAGCTAATTGTAGCATCAGTTTCAGTCCAAGCTGTCGGTCCTTTGTTATAATTACGGTGATGGGATTCTCAGGGCAAAATACGGGCGTGGAGGAGATGTGCAGAGAACAATGCTCATGGGTTCACTGCACACACACAACAATCCTCATGGGTTCACTGCACAAGCTATTCCAGATCAATCCACGGCGCATGGACCACAGTAACTACGGGGAGCATTTTTTACATGACTTTGACTTTGACCTGATCGGTGGGATTGTTGGACTCTTTGCCATACACCCTTACAGCGACCTCCTATCTAGTTCTTGGAAACCCCCCCCTGCAAAGCATATCAAAATCCAAACTTCATTGTCAATACTGAAATGGAAACCAAAAGGAAGTTGCGCAGAATAACCTGTCACTGTTATCTCCTTATCATTTTGGGCAGAACTATTATAACCTGTCTGTCACTCTTCCTTTCCCATCCCAGTTTTAATGTTTCATTATTGTTACTTCCAACAAGTGTAGGATTCTTTAATACAACAATTAAAGTTGACTAAGCAAGAGTTGACTTGTGCCTTTCCCTCTTTTCCTCACCATTACCATCATTATTAATTAATAATACACTAAAACAAATGATGTTTTTACATGGTAAATTATACTGTGCAACTTCTCACGAATCATTATAGTTTGAAATAATTAAATTTTTTTACCATTAATTTCTTTTAAGCTCGAATTTGCACCAAAATACATATATTTTTGGATCTCTCTCTCTGTGCAAAGCATATCAAAATCCAAACTTCATTGTCAATACTGAAATGGAAACCAAAAGGAAGTTGCGCAGAATAACCTGTCACCCCCCCTGCAAAGCATATCAAAATCCAAACTTCATTGTCAATACTGAAATGGAAACCAAAAGGAAGTTGCGCAGAATAACCTGTCACTGTTATCTCCTTATCATTTTGGGCAGAACTATTATAACCTGTCTGTCACTCTTCCTTTCCCATCCCAGTTTTAATGTTTCATTATTGTTACTTCCAACAAGTGTAGGATTCTTTAATACAACAATTAAAGTTGACTAAGCAAGAGTTGACTTGTGCCTTTCCCTCTTTTCCTCACCATTACCATCATTATTAATTAATAATACACTAAAACAAATGATGTTTTTACATGGTAAATTATACTGTGCAACTTCTCACGAATCATTATAGTTTGAAATAATTAAATTTTTTTACCATTAATTTCTTTTAAGCTCGAATTTGCACCAAAATACATATATTTTTGGAAGAAAAGGTTAGATTTAAAGTTAGAGAATTAAAGTGAAAATGATGGATATAATAGATAGTGAGTTACAAGAAAGTTTATTTTAGTTCTTTATTTTTTTTTAGTTTATAGATAATTAGTCCTTTCAGTTTTAAAAATTTAATTTTATTATCTAAGTTTTTTTTTTTTCAATCCTTTTCGATGAGAGAAGTGAGAAGGGCTCCTTGGATTCTAGCTTATTAAAAAAAATCATTATTTACACTTATTTTGACTATTAAAATGATTGAAATTGATGTCAATGAGTTATATTTGATGAGGAGAGTCTTATGATAGTTATTTTAAGTGTCAATATTGCCTAAAAACATATATAAAATGATAGTTAAAATAATTTGAATGTTGCCTCAAAAGTGACCTTTTGATCATCATACTCCTCTCACATATCACTCGAAGGCCTCAAGTGTATTCAACACATTAACACTTGCATTACGCGCATCATCTTTTTTTAGTTGTTAAATAATATTTTATATTTATTTAAATACTAAATTTTTCTTTATTAAACCTAATTATAGCTAAAAAACTAAGATAAAAATGCAATAAAGCCCCTAAACACCAATTTTAAAAAAATCATTTTAAGAATAGTTGAGTTATTTTATTGTGTTTTAAAAAGTAAAATCTCAAAAAGCCCTTGAGTTCCTTTTTTTTAATTGTTTTTTAGAGTTATTAAGTCATTTTTTTATGTTTAAAAATACAAAAAGACCATACCCTAACTAGTTAAAAAATAATTAATGAGCCATGAAAAAAAAACCATATTACTCTTAATATAAGGTTCATTGATTTTTCTTGGAAGGGAAAATAGTTATATCATCGTCAAAACTCACAGTAATGTGTGTTTTGATATACAGTAAAAATCTAAGCTCTTTTAGTTTTTTTGTTATTATTTAGATAAGTTTCTCGTGATATCTAGTGGATCAAAATAATTTTTTTTAACAAAAAAATGGAATTTTAAATGTATTTTCTAGCAGTAAATTTTTTTTTAATTACTAACTCAAAATATGATGTATGTATTTAATAAAATAAATTAAAGATTATATTTGATAATAAATACTAAAATGAAATTCTAACATTATCTAAAAACTAAGTCATAAAGTTAAAAAGCAAGTGCAACTAAAGATATTTGATTATGGATCACAAGAAGATCACTAAATTTTTAATTTAATTATACAACATTAATGTTTTTATAAGAAGAGTAATGATTTAAATTTCATTGAAAAAAAATTTGCTAGCAAATGACTTCCTTTTCTTATTAATATCTTAGATTTAAAAAAAAACAAATAGTTTTTTCTATGGTATTCATATAAAAGCTAAAATCATTTAGAAGACATATCAAAAAATAATTAGTTCAAGGATAAAAAAGATATATCTATAACTAAAACTTATTTGTCTCATTAACGAGCTCTTAAAAAATAAATCACTAGAATATTTTTTTCTTAATTAAAAAATATAATAATAACATAATGCTCGTTTATTATCGTGATGAATTCTTTAAAAGTATCACTAAACTTGGTTTAGTTAATCATCTTTGAAATCTTCTTACCTGATTCCTTATCTAGCATGAGTTTCAAATTATATAAGATTTAATCTAATAGACTAATATAATCTAGTTGGTTTGGAATGTTTAATAATAACTCAGAAGATAGGTAAAAATGTACCTTGATTTAATTTTTTTTTCTTAAAATGATATTTTTTTTTAATATCAAGATAATAACATATTATATATTAAACTCACGACTTTGTTTATAAGCTCAACTGAGTTTAAAATATTTATTTTTTAAAATTATTTTATATTTAATTATATGATAACAAAATTTACCAATCATAGTAAAGCAACCAAATAAAATTAAAAAATAAAAAAGAATATGATGGGTTGTATAAAAAAAATGATTGTTTGAGAACAAATTAAAAATTAAATGAAATTTAGTAAAATAATATCTAAAAAAATCATTAATTAATCTAAGAATTTAAAATAAATTATATATATATATATATAAATTTTAAAAAAATTAAATATCAATTATTTAATAACTTTTTTTTTTAGAAATATATAGTGTGAGTTTGAGCTTTTAAAAACAAGCCCTTTCACAGGGGCTTATTAGCCTAACCTCATATGATTGGGTGTTTTTTTTTCTCATGAAAACAATAAAAAAAGTCAGATAAAATATCTTCTATTACAGTAAATGATGCATTGTCACCTTTTCTAAATTCTACCCATCATGAGGCAATGGAAAATTAGGGTGTTTTTTAAATCTAAAAATTCTAATAAATTCTATTAGAACCTCATATAAAAAAAAATGTATAATTTTAAAAAAATTAAAAATTAAAAATCAAACAAAAAAAAAACCCTTTTCCAATCCTGATTTACCTTTTTTAGCAACATAAAATCCAAAAATACCACTTTGACACTCCTCTCTTAAAGAAAAACATTAACATCAAATTTGATTATTTTTGTCATTAGAATTCAACCAACTAAACTCTTTCTCTTTTTGTTTTTTTGTTCTTTAACAAGGTTTTTCTTTTCTTTTCAAACTTAGAGACTAAAATATATATATAAAAATAGACCAAACCATTTAATTTCCAAATTAAAGGGATGAGATTTTTTTTTTTGAAAATATTACTAAACATAATATTAAAAAATACAATTAAAAATATATATTTTTAAATCAATAAACAAAGCCTAAAAAAGAAAATGGACTAGAGTTACACCGCAATTTTCTTAAAAAGAAAAGTGGTGCCATTTTTTCTTTGTTTTAATCTTAATACTCTCATTGTAAATCTTTTATAAATAATAAAATTGATTTTTTTTCATGAAGACAACCACCCTTAATATTATAATATTTTTTTAAATCATGATAGGTTTATGAAAAAATCAAAATAAATTATTAATCTCAATATAAAATTCTTTAAAAAAGCAGAAAACCAGAAGAAAAAAAAACAAAAAAACATTATACGAATCCACTGTTTTTAATTTCATAGGCTGCAAGTACAGTGCTAGCTCTTTGATTTTGTATTTTTTATTCTTAACGGTCAACTTTATAGTCCGTTTTAAAGTTTTCCATCAATACCTAACTCTTCCTGGAAACTCCATGAATAAAATAACAAAAACACACTGAAGATGCAGGGTGTTGTAAAAACCAAGCTTGAATACAAAGTTGATTTTGAAGCCTCCCCCCACCCCCTCCTAAAAAACATAGAAAAAACCACTGGAAGCAGTTTGAGGAACCATTTCTTTTAAGGAAGGAGCAGTTGGACTTGGACAGCAAACTAAAAAAATGAAGCCAGGAAGGAGAGATGTTTGTTGTTGCTTGTAGACCCATGGCTGGTGTGTCGCCTCTATCAGCCAATTCTCAATCGCAACAACCATTCCCAACACCTTCACCATTCTCCTTCTCAGATGCCTCTGCACGATTGAGCACTAGACCATCCGTTTACCAATGCAATCTCATCCTTCGATTCTTGGCACTTTTGTTCTCCTTCGTCTCTGCACTTTCCCTGGCTGCTTCATCATCCAAGAAGGATAGCCCACGTCCTTCTAGCTTCGCTGACTACTCAGAATTGCTGTAAGTGTAGCCCCATACCAAAAGTTCTGAAATTTTAGTTTCCATATTTTCACTAATGAGGAGCTCTAAAAAAATTAATTCAGAAACCCACAAATCAAAAGCAAGAAATAAATCCATGACTTCGATGTGGAAGGCTTTCTCATTCCTATGGTATTTTATTTTCATATTACGAGTTATGTGTCAACAAATAATGATCTGATCTCTCTACTTCCTTGTGTAGGTACTGCTTCATTGCATCTGTTTTAGTGTTCGTTTATTCTGCTTTCCAACTCTTCAAAGGTATTTGGGACATTGCACAAAGAGGCATCCTCATCTCAGACATGTTCTCGGACTACATGAGCTTCATTCTTGATCAAGTAAGTGAAGTTTCATAGAAGCTTAAAACAATCCTTCTAATTCCTCTCAATGCTTGTGGCCTTTTGTCTCTGTCAGGAAAATACAGTTCCTCGATTACTAATCTTTTTGTAAGCATTTAAAGGTGGCAGGCTATCTTCTGATCTCTTCTAGTTCGGTAGCAATAGTGACCATCCAACAGATTGATAAAACTGCATCGATCTTGAAGGCGGTCATCATTTCCACAATCGTGTCGTTTGTGACTTTCCTTGTCATTGTGATATGCACTCTGTTATCGGGCTACAAGCTATGCAAGAGAATCAGCTGGTGACGCATCTCGTGCCTGCTTAAAATCCTAGCTTTCTTTCTGAACCACAACAAATCATCTCCGATTTAGCATGTAAAAGAAAAGGAATCTGCTTCATGGGCATGCCCGGTGTAATATCATGCTCTGCTGCTTCTTCAATAATATGAAATACAATCATTTTCCTTCCTTTTTTTCCCCAGGTTAAACATGATTGGGCGTTAGGTTGTGTAGGTTGTTGCTACTGGATTAATAAATGAGTTGATTTTTAGCTATTTTACACGCAGGTCATAATCATAGGCTTTTATAAGTGGTTGCTATTACTTTAAGCTCTAAAAACTGAATATCTCATAATAAACTTCAAATTCAACATAATCTAGCTGCAACAAGCTGCTTAAGAAAACAGCAGGGATTGACCATGCCATAAAACATACCCGTTGTCTTGATGGAAATAAGCAAAGCCAAAAGATATAATAATCTGTCCATCACCTCAAGGCCTCCGCATGTTTCTTCCCTTCTTCAGTGACAACAAGATTGCCCTTTGTAAACTCGCATGCAGGAATATAGACCCCGAGCTGCTTCTGCAGTTTCTTCACAATAAACATTTCTGGCTCCTCACAAATTGTCACCACAGTGCCCTTTCTACCAAGCCGGCCAGTCCTGCCAGCTTGATGTGCATAATGAATTGAGTCCGTAGGCAAGTCAAGATTGACAACAAGATCACGCTCTGGAACATCCGGACCCCTTGCTGCAAGTTTATTCGTCATTAGAACTCTCTCCTGCCCACTTTTAAATTTCTTTTAAATTGTCGACCTACCAAGCTTGCCAAGATCTCCATGGAGCTCTGCAGCATTCATCCCACGAGCCTCTAGTTTGAAGACAACATCTTTTAGCTGCCTTGTATGGTTCTTGAAGGCTATCACATGCTGCGCATCCAGTGCATGTACACATCTTCTCAGAGTACCAACCTTGCGGTGTAATAATAGCGTTTGGATGCTGGAGGAAGGCTCTGTTCCGTTGCCCTAGGCTGGAGATTTGAGTCTGAGCTTGAACTAGAAATAGGCCTTGACAGATTAACAGTTCCAGGAAGTTAAATGAAAGAAGGTCATCAATTTCATCTAAGACCAAAAAACGACAACCACGGGTATGAAGTTTACCAGCTGCACTAATCTCTGCAATCCTGCCAGGTGTACCCAAACAATCAATGGCTTGTTTTTCTTTAAAGCGTCTTTCTGTCCTGACCAGTACAAGTTGCTGAACCACTCTCATGTTATCAGGTCCTAACAGCTTCTATACCCCTCTCAATATTTGCATACCTAGCTCTCTAGACAACGCCACAATCACTGCTTCTATATCTGTTTTTTTCCGAGTTTCTTTATCGCTACTTGATGATTTATTCTTCAGAGGTCCAACTTCGGACAGTATAGGAAGTACATATGCATGTGTCTTCCCTAACCCAGTTTATGATTGCATGACAACATCATGGTTCATGAGAATAGTCGGGATTGCTGCAGATTGAACATTAGTAGGAACATTAAATCGTCCATTCTCTAACCTATCTATCAATAGCGAAGGAAGGCCAAGCTCAGAAAATGACTTTGCAGCAAATGGAGCCGACTCTAGTTTTGATGCTTCCAACCGCCTTCGTTCTACTTTTCGGTGCTTCATTCGGATAATTCACTTTCAGATTCTCAGGTTTATTTCTTTTATTTTTGGTTGTTGTTCCAAACTCGGTATTTAATCCAAGATTTGCAAGAGTGAGAGGTGCATGTTTGTCCCTGTCAATGCGACACACTACATTGACAAAAAGCCGAGATAGATCCAACCGATAACTTCTTAAAGGGTAATGACTCCCCAGCAAGAAAGAGCAACCGCGGTGATACTGATGATGGCATCTTTGCTAGGGTTGAACCAAGCAGAGATTAATATTTGAACAATCGATAACGTCTCACACAGGTGACATCTTAAGCAAATACTGTCAGAGCCTTCGAAGAGAGAGAAGCCCTTTCCCTCAAGCTGCATTTTAAGTAGACAGCAACAAAATCAAAATCAGAATGATGAAAATAAACTTGACCTTCAAATAAGTTGTAAACGTTTTAGTTTTGGTTTCTCAATAGTTATAAAAGTTCAATTGGTTGAGGCATTTTGACAAACAGGGTATGAGCGTCATAAGTTAACGAAAATACAACAACGAAAGAGTGACTAAAATCCATCTAAGGCCTGAGAAATAACGATTATCTTTCTGAAATTTATATAAACGCTAACACTTGATATCCTAAAATAATCAACAAAAAAAATCTAATTATTTATAAATTTATCATTATATTTATCAAAATAATAAAACTGCCATCTATAATTTATAATTACAATAATATCATCTATGATTCATCAACACAAATTCCTTTTAGACATTTCATCGAACAATTAGGGGCATCATTGGTGTTCTATTTTTCTACAGTTTCAGGGAAGAAAAGAACCAAAGGATTCATAATAGTATATCCAAAATCAATTTTCACCGTTTCAACTGTTCCTTGTTCTATTCGAAAAGATCAAGGAATTAAAATAGCTTCTTCTTTTTTTCTTCAGAAGTTCTATTTGAAAAGGCCAGAAAAGTTGAGATTAAACCTTGGAGAAACATAGCAACTGGGGGCAAGCCAGGTATCCTAGAAGGCAGGGGATCCAAAACAAAAGAGATAGATACAGACCAGGAAAAGAAAGTATAGTCTTGGAATGAGACTAGGTTTAGGTGTGGAATTCTTTTTCCAACACATCCCAAATTGGGCGTTATGGCGAAGAACAAGAAGAAAGCAATCTGTTACAAGGGACATAGTTATTGGATCTACTACTAGTGCTTTATCCATAGCCTTCCTTCCTTTACCAAAGCTATCTTCTCTGCTTGCTACAATGCCGCTTAGTTATGAAAGATAGGTTTATATCAAAGCATCCCCCAATTGAACCCATGGTTAAGAATGCCGAAAGTTGTTGAATTTGCTTCATAATCATCATAAAAGTAAACAATCACTGCCTCTCAGAGCAAGCTGTGGCAATTTATGAAATGCCGAGGAAACAAATTTCCCTGGCAAGATACAAGTAGAAAGAAGAATATACCCTTCTAGGCGAAACAAGCAGGCAAGCTCCCTGCGAAGCTCATCATAGCTGCTCATCCGTAGTAATCTCAAGAGTCTCTAATTGTTTTTGTTTTTGAGATAGTTTTCGTGTGGTTGTATTTAAAAATAAATAAATTTAAGAAAGGTATATCCATGATAATATCGAGTTACATATATATTTAATAAAAATTATATATATATATATATATATATATATATATAATGTTTAGTAGTTGTATTAGAAAATGAAGTTGTAGTTGTTTTTTAAAGTATTTTTATTTATAAATATATTAAAATTATTTTTTTATTTTAAATAAATTATTTTTTTATATTAGTATATTTAAATGAATTAAATACTTAAAAAATAATAATTTAAAGTAAAAAAATAAAAAAAAATTATTTTTTTTAAAGTGTTTTTAAAGTAAAAATATAAAAACTATTTATAAAAATCATATTTTAAATCCAATTTTTTAATAGGTTTCACGATATAAAACATAATTAAATTTAATTTGTTACTTAACACTTTTTTATATTTGTTGAACTGCAAATATAAAAATAGCTGCAAAACAAAAACAGCCTAATTTATCAAAAGACGGGGGTTTTATGATTTCAAAAAAAATGAATAAAATAACACTGGCAAGAAGTTTTCAATTCCCCATATTTATAGGAAGAGATTAGTATAAAAAACAAAAATATTGTTGTTTTGTATGTTTAGAGAGAGAAAGACAATGCAGAGAGATATTATATTTGGAAGAGATAAAATAAGTTTATAAGAAAATAGTGCAGATTTATATTCATTAAATATAAAAATAAAAATATATTTTCGTTGATCACTGAATCCAACAATAATTTCTTAACTTTTATATTGAAAACCAAAAACGAGTCCAAATATATAAATTTTTTTGTAATTATCTTGAAAAAAAAACTGCAGACTTTTGTTTTTTTAACCTCATTTTTCCTCTCTTTACCTCCATTCTTTCTTTTCTTCCGCCTCATTCTTCTAGGTATTTTTAATATGGTATTAAGATAGTTTTTATAATTATATTTTTAAAAAATATTTTATAAAAAAGTATTTTTGGTTAAAATTAGTTTGATATTTATATATATTTTTTTTTAATAGGTTTCACGATATAAAACATAATTTAATTTAATTTGTTACTTAACACTTTTTTATATTTGTTGAACTGCAAATATAAAAATAGCTGCAAAACAAAAACAGCCTAATTTATCAAAAGACGGGGGTTTTATGATTTCAAAAAAAATGAATAAAATAACACTGGCAAGAAGTTTTCAATTCCCCATATTTATAGGAAGAGATTAGTATAAAAAACAAAAATATTGTTGTTTTGTATGTTTAGAGAGAGAAAGACAATGCAGAGAGATATTATATTTGGAAGAGATAAAATAAGTTTATAAGAAAATAGTGCAGATTTATATTCATTAAATATAAAAATAAAAATATATTTTCGTTGATCACTGAATCCAACAATAATTTCTTAACTTTTATATTGAAAACCAAAAACGAGTCCAAATATATAAATTTTTTTGTAATTATCTTGAAAAAAAAACTGCAGACTTTTGTTTTTTTAACCTCATTTTTCCTCTCTTTACCTCCATTCTTTCTTTTCTTCCGCCTCATTCTTCTAGGTATTTTTAATATGGTATTAAGATAGTTTTTATAATTATATTTTTAAAAAATATTTTATAAAAAAGTATTTTTGGTTAAAATTAGTTTGATATTTATATATATTTGGTTAAAATTAAAATTAAATAAAAAATAATTTAATGTGTTTAGTTAGGAATACTTATCAAATTAAAATTGTAAAATAATTTCAAAAAATATATATTAATATTAATGATTTTTAATTTAGATATTGAAGATTTAACTATTGCTATTACATAATGAAATAAATAATACTTTATATATAATATTTTTTATTTTTTTATTAAATTATCTACAATTCCATTAAGTGTGAAATATATGTGATAAGGACTACAGTTTTTTTGGTTTTTTAAACACAGAAAAATATCAAATAAATTTGATTTTTTAAACACAGAAAAATATCAAATAAAATATTATTATAAATCAATTTGGGACTCTGATTTCTATCTAATTTATTA